ACTTAACTGTTTACAACTGTTTGGACTAATGATTTCACCCCAGTTCATTACTAGTCTGTGCTTCTGATCTGGCTGAGCTTGTAGATCCAGTTATGACCAGATGGGGGCGACAACCCCCACATGCCAGCACAGACAGAAATATATACCTTTTAAAAATACAACTATTACAAACCTGCAAACCTCAAACACCTATATCTTCTAATAGACACGTTAAGTATAGCTACTGTATAATCACTTTAAAGCCTGGGTTTACCTTCCAATGCAAGACATTTCACAGATATCAGAGACTTCTCTGCACTTCAAAACCAGCTCAATTTCAATCAGGCCTTCCAAAGCATCCACTAATGTACAGTTGTAATCCTCTAAGCGTAGGATTTGATCCCCTTTTGCACCACTTGCTTTGTACCAAACTTCCAATTAAAAATGTACCCCCAAAAGATAAAGCACAGGCTTATGCTGAAGCTGAAAAACACAATCTGACGCTCCACGCCGGTAGCGTAAATCTTATATATGCAAATAGAGCCAGCAAACTTTCTTTGAAATAGGGCTAAGCTTTTAAGAACAGTCAAATAACGCAGGCTATCTGACATTTTGCGGTGTTTGCTGAAGGGGAGGGTATTTGTGTGAATCAAGATAAAGGTAGGAAATAACAGGTAAACACACGAGGGAAAAACAGATTCTCCTCAAACAAACATTTGAAGTTCTCTTCCAAATTAGTTCCACATCAAAAATATTTAATTGGGGTTTCTCTCGATTCGATCAGAACTCTGTGTTGCCAGCTTTGAGAAATTCCACACAACTCAAACAATCAATCAGACATTCAAACTTGGGAAAAAAAACATGTTGACGTATCTACATAAGGACTGGATACATACACCCTTGTCCTGTGTATTCCATTTGAGCAGATAGGCAAATACATCCCATTTGTCGAGATAATGTTGGAATATAAACACCCTTATCCCACATATCCTGTCCAAGTGTATACATCCCATTTCAAACAAAAGTCCTTGCAGTCAAGACTATAAGAAACTGTTCCAAGTAGATGTTTGCGCTGCTAATTCCAAAAAGAGTCAATGTAAAAATATGTCCACAGGGAAAAGCACACACAGGATATCAAAGTTATATGCTTAGTATTTTCATTTATTTACATATCCTGCTTGTGCTTTTCCCTGTGGATATATTTTTACATCCCATTTCCCCCAGCCAGTGTTAGGAGGACCCAGTGAGTGTTAACACGTGTAGGAGTCAGTGTGCTGTCCCCACTACCACCCATGAAACATTTAACTGCCGTCGTCCAGTGGGCTACACTTACAACATGCTACCCTGTTGCTAGCACATCTGGCCTCCAGCTGCTTACGTACAGATGTCCATACAGGCTCCAGATTACTAACTGTACATGTTTGCCCTACATGGGTTGCTAGCTAGGGTTCAAGTCTGTTTCAGTCATTTACCATGTGTGATGGCCAAATACCCAAATTATATCCAGCCATTCGTTTAATATCTGTATCACCAGCCTTCAAAAGCTTCTAGTTTGGCAGCCATCTTTATAGTCTTGTTTCTGACATCACATATTCATCTATAGCATTTAGCTAACCATGCCCTATGGCTTCTCCCAGCTGTGCTAGGTTGAGCGATCTCTTACGGCTAATGCTAAAGTCTGCCAGGGGGCCTTGCCGTCACTTCAGCTCAGTGGGCTGCCGGTCAGTCACTGTGTCAGCTGTGTGCACTGGGGACGGGGGCTAATCGAGCTAGCAACCGGTGCGGGTTAGACGAATTAGCTGTATCAAATCCCCATCTGTTTGCCCAGGTGGTCAGTCTGCGTGACAGGAGGGAGCCAGGATACTGACCCACACACAGCTGGCTGGCCAGAGTGGAGGGGGTTGGAGTGGAGGGACTCTTTCTCTCTCTCTCTCTCTCTCTCTCATTTTTATTTAACCCTTATCTTACCAGGTACGTTGACTGAGAACACATTCTCATTTACAACAACAACCTGGGGAATAGTTCCAGGGGAGAGGAGGGGGGATGAATGAGCCAGCTGGAAGCTGGGGATGATTAGGTGGCCATGATGGTATGATGGCCAAGATTGGGAATTTAGCCAGGACACCAAGGTTAACACCCATACTCTTAAAATAAGTGCCATGGGATCTTTAGTGACTACAGAGAGTCAGGAAACCTGTTTAACATCCCATCCAAAAGACGGCACCTTACACAGGGCACTGCCATGGGGCAATGGGAGACTGAAAAGATTCGGCATGGGTCCTCAGATCCTCAAAAAATTCTACAGCTGCACCATCGAGAGCATCCTGACTGGTTGCATCACCGCCTGGTATGGCAACTGCTTGGCCTCCGACCGCAAGGCACTACAGAGGGTAGTGCGTACGGCCCAGTACATCACTGGGGCTAAGCTTCCTGCCATCCAGGACCTCTATACCAGGCGGTGTCAGAGGAAGGCCCTCAAAATTGTCAAAGACTCCAGCCACCCTAGTCATAGACTGTTCTCTCTGCTACCGCACGGCAAGCGGTACCGGAGTGCCAAGTCTAGGTCCAAAAGACTCCTCAACAGCTTCTACCCCCAAGCCATAAGACTCCTGAACAGCTAATCATGGCTACCCAGACTATTTTCACTGCCCCCCCACCCCAGCTGCTGCTACTCTGTTAATTATTTATGCATAGTCACTTTAACTCTACCCACATGTACATATTACTTCAACTACCTCAACTAGCCGGTGCCCCCGCACATTGACTCTGCACCGGTACCCCCCTGTATATATAGCCTCCCTACTGTTATTTTATTTTACTTCTGCTCTTTTTTTCTCAACACTTTTTTGTTGTTGTTTTATTTTACTTTTTTATTGAAAATAAATGCACTGTTGGTTAAGGGCTGTAAGTAAGCATTTCACTGTAATGTCTGCACCTGTTGTATTCGGCGCATGTGGCCAATACAATTTCAGATATATATATTTTTTGACCAGAGGAAAGAGTGCTAGCAGGAGTGAGAGAGGGGAAGAAGCGAGAGAGAGAGAGATAAGAAGAGAAGAGGAGAGAGAGAGATCGAGAGGATCGAGCGAGAGAGAGAGAGAGAAGAGAAGAGAAGATATATAGCAGAGATCGCATCTCCTAGGGTATAGAGAGAGATAGCTCTGCGCCGATCTCTCTCTCTACTCTCTCTCTCTATCTCTCTCTCTATCTCGCTCTCTATCTCTATCTCTCTCTCTCCTCTCTCTCTCTCTCTCTCTCTCTCTCTCTCTCTCTCTCTCTCTCTCTCTCTCAGCCTGAAGACACATTTTGTGAGCCCTGAAGAGACAATATGTGATGCCTTTGGATCGCTAACTTCAGAAACAGGGGTTCAATCAACTAACGATTACAGCCGGTGGCAGAAAATTCCTTCTCCTTCCTGTAGTAATCCATCCATAAACAAAGTCAATATCCTCTTTGATTAGGGCCATTTCGACCATTTGGAGAGTTTAAAATCCTTTTCCAATGCAGTATCACACATCCTTCTAAATGTAGAAGCCAATATGTAGTGGTAGTAGCAGCAGCATCATCATCCAACCAGGCCCGTTAGCTAGTTAACGGTGGGGGGGGGGGGGGGGGGAGGAAAGTAGAGGAATGCAGCGAAAGCCTCAGTGTTCACAGGCTCCTCAGGCCGCCTCAGGACACACTTGGCACAGCAAACAAGACTCCCAAATAACCACCGCCGGGACGGGAGGCCGGGGTTCAGATTGATGCTGGGATGGATTTGTGCATTTTGCATTTGTCCTATTCTCCCACTGCTCCTCTGGTGCAGAGATACATTTATTTAGGTGGCTCTGGGAATTCTCTCAGAGTGTATCGGAGGATTTCCTTTCATTCAAACAGCAGGCAAGTTGCAACTCAGAGCTCCCACAGTGGAGGAACTGGAAACACACTGGTGGTGTCTGTAGACAAAGTCTTGTCTATGAAGCGTCTACAGTATACAGAACTACAGTGGCTCATACACTGGCGACACATTTCACAGCTTCATAAATGAGCAAACTACTTCATCCCTCTTGCTCCTCTGTAACAATATAACAATAATATTTAGTCCCTAGTCTGGAAGGGGGGCTTTGCTCTTAGCCCGTCACCATGATTGAAGAGTGAGTGACAGACGGGTCTTCACTGTAGCTGACATATGGCGTAGGAAGGCCAACAAACATCCACTAACGGGATTATCCAAGCTTCTAATTCGCCGGTCGGCAAACAATAGGAGTGGGAGAGATGATTAATTCATGAATGGAGTTTCGCGGCGGAATGGAGTTATTATAGCATCTGAAGTATGCCGGGGTCATTCCATCTAATTAAGTATGAATAAAAGGAAAACACCAGGGGTTTTGAAACTGTGGAAGAGGATGTTTTCACTCAAACCCCCACGGACTAACGTTACACAACGCAGTGTATCCATCCTCCCTTCCTCCTCTTCCATCTCACTTTCCTCTCTCTCACTTTCTCACTCTCTCACTTGTAACATTGTTGTGCTGCATGCTAGCCACCACATACACACCTCCTCTCTCCATCCTTCTTTCATCTCTCTATCCTCCCACTGCCCACCTTTCCTTTAATCACATTAGGTATCAATAATTCATCTGGTTGCTGCCTTCTCTGCCCGGCAAGTATAGCGTTTTCTGTCACTTAGCCGATTTAATGCGGCGCTGGATTAGGGGCGGCGAGGGCCATCTCCTCTGCTGCACGGCGTCCAACGGCTATCGGCTAACTTGATTATCACACAATGCAGCATCTGGCCATGCAGGGAGAGCTGTCATTTCAACCCACGCCGCCTTGCCCTCTATTTACTAGACGATGTGTGTCTGTGTGTCTGTCTGTGTGTGTGTCTGTCTGTCTGTGTGTGTGTGCGGGGGATGGGGGGATGGGGGGGGGGGGGGGGGGGGGGGGAGCAGCCAACGTCGATCATCAGAGGGTCGCAGGGAAAAACAACCACCACAAATATCTCATTACGGAATGAGAGGTGTGGGAGGAAAAATCTATCACTCCGTCAGGATTCTATGGCCGCTGGGACCCAAGGAACGCTGGGATAGAGGGTCGATAGAGGAATGGAGGGATGGAGGGATAGAGTGAGAGAAAAAGAGAGAGAGAGAGAGAGAGAGGTGTTATGGCTCGTGCTGTGACCCATCAAGCATCGTGTTGTGGAAGTCTATTGAATTTGGTCGAGGACAGAAATAGATAATTTGATAGTGCCAAATAATATCTGTCATTTTGTGCAACATAGTGGATGTGAGTAGTTAGGGGTGAAGGTGTGTGTGTGGGTGGATCTGTGAGTGTGTGTGTGTGAGTGCGTGTGAGAGTGTGTGTGTGTGTGTGTGTGTAATTCAGCGACACAGTTAAGTGTCTAAGTTTTGTTCTGCATCTTGTCAGTAGGAATCAGCAGGATAAGCGTGTAAACCCTACAAATATCAGATGAAGCCACACACACACACAGAGTAGCACTCAATCAGCTTCCCCTCGTAAACAAAATTATTACCACGTAATTCTTAATTATCCCCCTTAACCCCGTAGAAACTTGTTGCCATGGAAACTAAGGCAGCAGAAGACAGAAACACAGGAGAGAGTGTTTTCTGCTCTCCAGGAAGAAGGTAAAGTTGAAGAGAAGAAAGAAAGATGACTTGAGGCGGCCATCGATACTACGGTCCCCAAGGCCTCAGTCCTCACCCGGTGTCATTTTTTTACCCAGGATTCAATTCCGGATCCAATCGACACGCATCAATTATTCAAACATTAGTCAGATGAGTTCAACTCGATATGTGACATCGACTGTCTGTACGATAATGTGAAATATGTAATTCTGTTTTATATATGGCTGGGAGGGTTATTTTAATGGCTACGTGACCTGGCCACATTATAGACTGTAAAAATAGGCCCAGAGTTTTTCTTGTTCAGGTTTCGTCACTCACTCTCTCATTCCCATCGAGCCGGCTGGCACATAGGGCAGCATTTCCTAGTCACAATTTTTGAAAATAAAATCCCAACTTTCTCAATATTAACAGTGCCTAGTTCTGATTGTTTACCAAAAATGTTGCACTTCAAAGATTAAAAGTTGGGAATGTCTTCCAAGCTGATTTGGCATTCACTGGCATCAACTACAATATCTCCATATCATAACAGAAATGCCCAAAATGCATATTTGTATTTGTATTTATTAAGGACCTCATTAGGTCCTGCCAAGGCAGCAGCTACTCTTCCTGGGGATTATTATGGATCCCCATTAGGTCCTGCCAAGGCAGCAGTTACTCTTCCTGGGGTTTATAATGGATCCCCATTAGGTCCTGCCAAGGCAGCAGCTACTCTTCCTGGGGTTTATTATGGATCCCCATTAGGTCCTGCCAAGGCAGCAGCTACTCTTCCTAGGGTTTATTATAGATCCCCATTAGTTCCTGCTAAGGCAGCAGCTACTCTTTCTGGGGTCCAAACAAATCAAGGCAACCAAAAAAAAAAATCTGTAAAATAAAACAGTACAATTATTACATCACTACATATCTATATTATATTTATAATACCACCATACATACAGTACGTTTGTGTAGAGTGAGTGTGCTAGTGTATGTGTGTGCCTGTGTGTCTCTTCACAGTCCACATTGTTCCATAAGGTGTAGTTTTATCTGTTTTTTTAAATCTGATTTAGTCATGGCTCTGTGTAGTACTGTACATTTTCCAGAGTCTGTTCTGGACTTGAGGACTTTGAAGAGACCCCTGGTAGCATGTCTTGTGGGGTATGCCTGGGTGTCTGAGCTGTGTGCCAGTCGAACAGACAGCTCGGTGCTTTCAACATGTCAGTACCTCTCACAAAGACAAGTAGTGATGTAGCACGGCTGGCCCTTAAATGTACACGGAGAGCTAACATCAATGACATGCATGTCAATCTCCCCTCTACTTTGAGCCAGGAGAGATTGACATTCATGTCATTGATGTTAGCTCACCGTATACATTTAAGGGCCAGCCATGCTGCTCTGTTCTGGGCCAACTGTAATTTGCCTATGTCCCTTTTTGTGGCACTTGACCATATGACTTGGCAGTAGTCCAGGTGCGACAAAACAAGGGCCTTTAGGACTTGTTTTGTTGATAGCAATGTCAAGAAAGCAGAGCAGCGCTTTATTACAGACAGACCTCTCCCCATCTTAGCTACCGTTGCATCAATATGTTTTGACCATGACAGTTTACAATCCAGGATTACACCAAGCAGTTAAGTCCCCTCAACTTTCTCAATTTCCACATTATTCATTACAAGAATTAGTTGAGGTTTAGGGGTTAGTTAATGATTTGAACCAAATACAATGCTTTCAGTTTTTGAAATATTTAGCACTAGCTTATTACTTGCCACCCATTCTAAAACTGACTGCAGCACTTTGTTAAGTGTTTCAGTGATTTCACTTTCTGTGGTAGCTGACGTGTATAATGTTGAGTCATCAGCATACATAGACACACAGGCTTTACTCAGTGACAGGTCATTAGTAAAGATAGAAAAGAGTAAGGGGCCTAGACAGCTGCCGTGGGGAATGCCCGACTCTACCTGGATTATGTTGGAGAAGCTTCCATTAAAAAACACCCTCTGTGTTCTGTTAGACAGATAACTCTCAATCCACGATATAGCAGGGGATGTAGAGCCATAACACAAGTTTTTCCAGCAGCAGATTATGATTGAAGATGTCAAAAGCTGCATTGAAGTATAACAAAACAGCTCCAACAATCTTCTTATTATCTTATCATCAGTCATTTGTGTAAGTACTATACATGCTGAGTGCCCTTCCCTATTAGCGTGCTGAAAGTCAGTTGTTAATTTGCTTACTGTGACATAGCACTGTATCTGGTCAAACACAATTTTTATCAAAACAGGCTGATTGGTTGGCTGCTTGGGACAGTAAAGGGTGCTTTGCTATTCTTGAGTAGCGGAATTACTTTTGCTTTCCTCCAGGCCTGAGGGCACACACTTTCCTGTAGGCTTAGATTGAAGAGATGGCAAATAGGAGTGCCAATATAGTCCACTATCATCCTCAGTAATTTTCCTTCCAAGTTGTCAGACCCAGGTGGCTTGTCATTGTTGATAGACCCCCCAAAAAATCACCTCTTCCACACTCACTTTACGGAATTCAAAATGACAATGCTTGTTTTTCATAATTTCGTCAGTTATGCATGGTTGTGTAGGTTCAGAATTTGTTGTTGGCATGTCATGCCTAAATTTGCTCATCTTGCCTAGGAAAAATCATTAAAGGGATAATTCCCCAGAGTCAGATGAACCCCAGAATCAGATGAACTCGTGGATACCATTTTTACGTATCTGTATGAAGGAAGTTAGAAGCAGCTTCGTGAGCCAATGCTACCTAGCATTAGTGCAATGACTGGAATTGCTAACGCTAGTTAGCAATTGCGAAAGCGCTAGTTAGCAACTTCCTTCAAACTGCACGCAGAGACATAAAAATGATATCCACAAGTTCATCTGACTCTGGGGAAGTAGATAAAGGGCTTGATTGCTAAAATCCCAAAGTATCCCTTTAAAGTAGTTGGCAATATCAGTGGATTTTGTGACGAATGAGCCACCCGATTCAATTAATGATGGAGCTGAGTTCGCGTTTTTGCCCAAATTTGTATTTAAGGTGTGCCAAAGCTTTTTACTATAATTCTTTATTCATAATTTATCTTTGTTTCATAATACAGTTTCTTCTTCTTTTTGTTTAGTTTAGTCACATGATTTCTCAATTTACAGTACGTTTGCCGATCAGCTGTGCAGCCAGACTTATTTGCCATTCCTTTTGCCTCGTCCCTCTCAACCATAAATGTTTTCAATTCTTCATCAATCCACAGGGATTTAACAGTGATTTTCTTAAATGGGTGCATGCTTATTAGTAACTAGAATAAGCAATTTCATAAATGCGTCAAGTGCAGCGTCTGGTTGCTCCTCATTACACACCAAAGACCAGCAAATATTCTTTACATCTTCAACATAGGAATCACTAAAAAAACTATTGTATGACCTCTTATACACTAAATTAGGCCCAGCCTTTGGAACTTTGGTTTTCCTAGATATGGCTACTATATTATGATCACTACATCCGATGGATGTGGATACTGCTTTAGAGCATATTTCTGCAGCATTAGTAAAGATCTGATCAACACATGTGGATTATTTAATTCCTGTGCTGTTTGTAAATACCCTTAGCGATTTCATGAACCTTGTTTCTTAGGCTACACACTATATGTTAATGTGGGCTATTTTTAGTACTTTTCTGGAATGCTTGATTGTTTTTATTGCTTTACTGGGAGGCTTATCAGAGGTAGACATGACAGTGATATTTATGTTTGAGCTGATAGTGCAGGGTGAACTGCACACAGTGGGCTTCCTACTAGGGCAAACCGCCCCAGCGCTAACAGTATAACTCACATGATTACTGCTGACAATAGCTGTTGGATTGACAGAGGCATTCAGGGGAGTTAGAGGAACATAAATTAGGTTACTTCCATTATGACTGACAACACCCCTGGGACAATGTACATTTGTAGCAGCACTATGACAACTCAGTGACACAATGGTAGGGATTATCTGAGCAGGACTTGGGTCACTGATAAGTCATTGTCTCATGACCCAAGACTCCATCTCTTTACCAAGCAAAGATAAGTACAAAGGTAGCCACTGCATCCGAATCCACTGGAGACATAGGAACATGTGTTTGTCTGTGTGACAAGGTTGAACCGTGAAACATTGGCAATTACAGAAACATTGGCAATGTGATGAACAAAAACAAGAAAAGGCCAAACAAAACACAAACAAGAAAAATTCAGCAAGGGCGTTCACAAAGAGGGATTTCAGAAATTCTTGCTTCTTCCCAAGGGTACCTCTACTCTTCTAAGAGGTAGAGAGAATTATAGCATGGTATAGGGCATAAAGCAGTGTGTGTGTGCATAGTGTAAATATGTGTGTGCGTATAGTGACTATGTGTGTGTCCATGCGTGTACAAGCATGTGCACGCTTGAATGTGTGTCTGCGTGCCCTTGTGTGCATGTAGCAAGTCTTACCAGTGATCTTATTCAGCTCAACCAGGGTCTCCTGGTAGACAGCTATGACCTGTCCATAACGGGCAATCACCTCCTTCCTCAGGTTGTCCCAGTGGGGAGACAGTTCCCCAAGGTCCCTCAGCTCCTGTATCCTGGAACGACAGGGGATCCACAGGGAATGTCAATGAGAGACACATGGATCGTTACGGAGTACAAGGAGTTTCTCAACCAGACTCTGTCAGCTCAGTTCAATCAAACCCATATCCCATCGACACAGAAAGGGAGCGAGAAAGTAAGAAGAGAGAGATAGTCAATCAATCAATACATTTGATTTATAAAGCCCTTTTTACATCAGCAGTTATCACAAAGTGTATACTATTCTACTGTATCTTAGTCCATGCTGCTCTGACATCGCTCGTCCATATATGTGTATATTCTTAATTCATTCCTTACTTAGATGTGTGTGTATTGGGTATATGTTGTGAAATTGTTAGATATTACTTGCTAGATATTACTGTGCTGTCGGAGCTAGAAGCACAAGCAGTTCGCTACACCCGCAGTAACATTTGCTAAACACGTGTATGTGACCAATAAAATTTGATTTGATTTGAAAGTGACTTTACAGAAACACGGCCTAGACCACAAAGAGCAAGCAGAGACATAAGCAGAAGCACAGTGGCCAGGAAACTAAACAAAAACTCTGTAGAAGGAAGAAACCTAGAGAGGATCCCGGCTCAGAAGGAAGGCATATCCTGTTCTGTCTTTACTGGGTAGAGATATACAGGAATGTCACTAAGAGGATACAGATCATTACAGAATATTGGGAAGCCTGACCTTGAGCAATGCATTTGAAACCCACATTGCAACATTTCAATAAGAAGTAGGTGTGCGGCAGTAAGCAACATGCATTTTGTAAGACATTGCATAAAGATTGCTTTGGCAGGTTCACCACAACCACATACAGTATTATCCAGCCAGACTGAACCTATTCTATGACACCCTGCCATCATCTAATGCTATTTTGCTGGCCCATGGCAAATAGCACGGTTAGATTGACTCCACTGTGACTAATGTTGCTCATTGTCTTCTGGTTTGAGTCATATGACCCTAACTGTCACAGTGGTGGGTGTATTAACAGACTGTTTAACACCTCTCTGATGCATGCAGGAACAGACAGACACACACACACACACACACACACAGACTGACACGCGCAAGGAAGCACGCATACACACACGCAAGCACACAGACGAGTGTATACACACAAATGCACACGCACACACACCATTTACCCCATCCCTGAGCCTCACTGCTTAGCCCATAGACTGATCTTTATTAAACAAATCTCACCCTCAGGCTAGAAGCCATTTTGTCCACTTATCCACTAGTTTCCCATCATCACCCCTTCTTCTCTTCTCCCAGTCAGAGACATCCTACCATCCAAATTCCATTAACCAATAATAAACCCCTCTATCTAGTCCTTTTCTAGTCGATCGCCGCGGCAACCTGTTTCATCTCATAGCGAGGCGTGTGTGTGTGAGTGTGTCTGTGTGAGGCGTGCAGCCGGAGGGCCGAAAGACCCCTACACGTTGCCATTAGGGGCCGAGGTAAACTGAGGTCGTTGCCAAGGAAATAACCACCCGTCGCCGGAGGCGTCCAAGCTGATACCCAGGCTACCGCCTGTGTGTGTATGTATCCTTAGACGGCTGGGTGGCAGTTATCATCTGAATGGCTGTGATCAGATGTTGTGATATGAAACGTCGTGCCTGTAGTCTCCATTGTAAAGAAGGCCTTGATCTCAATGATACGTAGGGGGATTCAGTGGGCTCTTTGCTTTAATAGAGAGGTGTTATTGTTGACAATGGATCCAACGTATCTTAGACTACAGACAGTGTTGTGCTGCTCATCAGACTGACTAAAATGTAAATGAGCCATTATAAGAATATATTATCAGACTGTTTGATCTATTCTAATTCATTTGCAAACATATCCGAAATGTTTGCATGATGTGTATTTTGTGAGAGATTAAGGGACATGTAAAGTATCACATCTCTCCCCTCCACCCTCTCACCTCACAAAACCCAACTGACGATGGAACAGGAGTGAACTTAGCCAGATGGATAGTGCCATGCTGCCCAGGTGCAGTTAACATTTCCCCACAACCCCCCTTTCCACCTTAAAGTGTACCCCCTCTCTCTCTCTGCGGTTGTAAACAACATGAGTAAATAACACAGTTAGTACTATCCGGAATCCTTGGGACGTCCCTACCCTAAACCCTAACCTTAACTCCAACCCTAACCTTAACCATAACCTAACCTTAACCATAACCTAACCATAACCTAACCCTAACCCTTGAGCTGGGCGATACAGACACAAATCCATATCGCGATAAATTGCCTGAATTGATGTGATAATGATAAATAGAATGATACACAAATAGTTTTTAACATTAATGTGCACCACCTTTTTTTATTATTATCCTTTAAACTACTACTACTAGTTTTATGGTTGTAGCCATCAATTGTCCCACTAACAATCACCCATATTGGCAAACTTAATCAATTTCAAACTTCACATTTCTCTAGTATAAGCTACTTATCGTAATGAACGATGTCAGCAAACTGCCTGCGATAAGTGATCAGAATGATCGGTGTCGATAATTTTCATTTATCGGCCCAGCTCTACCTAACCCTAACCATAACCATTTTAAATGTCAACTACAATGTGGTAGGGATGTCCCAAGAATGGCGGATTGTAAGGACCTAAATAACACCAGCGCTGTGGCAAACCTAGCGGGGGCACGCGTTGCTCTGTGACCAAGACGCAGTGCGGCCATGCTCCCCAGGTGGGTTGTGGGTAACGGCCATAGGGAGGCTTTGATTCAACATCATGGGAGGGAGTTAAAGGGATAGGTCTGTGATTTCACATATTTACGTATTTGTTTCCTTATTAGCAATTCTTGACAGTGGCTAGTTTAACAAAACCAGCGTGGATTGCAGTCCTTGTCCATAGAATGATTTCAAGTTTAAAAAACGAATAGTCGAACCAGGTGGGCTTCCATCTTTTCGCTTCCAGAATATTCAGTAAAAAGTGAACTTCAATATCTCTGTGATGAGGTGATTTCGAAGGAGTCAGGCGCAGGGGGGTAAATCACAGAATAACAGGATTTATTCTGAACCACAGAGTTACGCAGCAATGCGTCAAAACAGGAGCACTGGAAAATACAACGCACACAGGGAAATATCACACACAAAGACAAGGGGAGCAGATAGAACACTTATACAGGTACTGATGAGGGGATATGAACCAGGTGTGTGTAATAAACAAGACAAAACAAATGGAATGATGAGATGAGGAGCGGCAGTGGCTAGAAGGCTGGTGACGGCGAACACCAAAGCCTGCCCAAACAAGGAGGGGTGGCAGCTTCGGAGGAAGTCGTGACAATCTCATTCCGGTATCTCGTTACCAGTTAAGATCAGCCACCCTTAATTGTGTGGAGATTTCCTCTGAGAACAATGATGAGTTCCCATGTAAAGTTCCCGACTCAAAGCATCCCTGTGTAGCCTTAATGCTTTCAAGCAGAAGATTAGCATCTTTTTTAAATTAGTCAGTGCACAAAAGGCACCCGATTTCTTCTAAAACAGGACAGAAATATTCCCTAGTATCATTTTGGGGTAGAAGACGGAGAAAAAAATGATTGTTTCTCTTTGTTCTGTATGGTAATCCGAAACCACTGCTGACAGAGATAATGATATTGGCCCTGTCGCAGAGTAGGAGATGGGGACGTTCAGATAGGTGTCGTGTCGTGGGGGTTGGGGTAGTGAGGTTGAAAGCAGACCCACTCCATGTGGCCTCGATGCTTCAATCAAACATATTGTTCTAACCCAGCCATCCACTTGGGTTTGGAGAGGGCTCTAAGGCTCATGAGAGGATGCAGTGTGTGTGTATGTGTGTGTGTGTGTGTGTGTGTGTGAGATGCTCTCTGTGTGATGCTATCTGATTCCACCGCTATAGCCACTTTATCAAACACCATACCATGCTCTTTAGCAGATTGCAGCCATTCAGTGTAATCCATATCCTTCTGTCTAAACCACTGTTATTTGTGTATCAGGAGGCGTCAGCCCCAGCCCCAAACCAGACGTGTTATTTTGATGCTGGGCAGACAGCAGTGGTTGGGGGTCAGTGGGTGTAGAAGGGGGGAGACTGAGTCACAAGCCTTAAGAAGGACACTGAGTAGGGAAGCTATAGATAGTACACTGCATAATGAAACTCCGACCTTGCGGGGGGGGGGGGGGGGGGGGGGGGTCCAGACAAACTGTGTTACGCCAGTGAGATAGAGAGAGGGGAAGAGAGAGATAGACGGAGGGGGGGGGGGGGGGGGGTGGCAATGAGTCACAGGCCTTAAGAGGTACTGAGTTGGGAAGATGAAGGAGGGAGAGAGCGAGAGAGAGAGAGAGAGAGAGACAAAGGCAGAGAAGATTGACATGAGATAGGGACTGTGAGACTTGAAGAACAAGACACAGTAGGGACTGAGGGCAAAAGAAGACAAGAGGCCTCAGACAGACAAGCAGAAAGAAAAGGCAAGAGATGGAGCGAGAGAGAGAGAGAGAGAGAGAGCGAGAGAGAGAGAGAGAGCGAGAGAGCGAGAGGGCTGTTATGTTCAAACTGACTTGGACAGATGAGGGCTACAGAATACATTTTCCAAATAACAAAGACCTGTCATGTGAGAGCCTTTATTTCATGCTGTGTTATAGTAGCCTGTTCAATTTAATCACCAAGAGCTTTGGGCCTGGGGTCAATATTACAACCCAACCTGCCTCCTTTACTGTAGACGGCCAAGTACATAGAGAACTATAGCCTACTGGTTTTCATATAGTGTGCTTTACTGAAATGTAGTATAGAGGCCACAGTATCAACCACCAACCACAGTATCAACCACTGTGATGCTCTTTAGTTCACAGGAGCTGAAGATTATCAGTTATAATATAATATTAATAATAATAATAATAATAATAATATAATATAATAATATGCCATTTAGGGGAGTAAATGGGAGGGAGGACATTGACAGTCAGAGGACTATGTGTTGTCTTAGTGTTTGGCCCACCGTGTTGCACAAACACACACACACACACAAACAAACATATACACACACACACGCCCTGCAGAGTGTCATAATAATATGCCATTTAGCAGACGCTTTTATCCAAAGCGACTTAGTCATGTGTGCATACATTTTTAGGTATGGGTGGTCCCGGGGATCGAACCCACTACCTTGGCGTTACAAGCGCTGTGCTCTACCAGCTGAGCTACAGAGGACCACAGTTCATTTACTCCTTGTTGAATGGAGAAGGAACGTAGGCGTAGCTCGGAATTAATGAAACGATCAGATCAATTCATAGAAAAACAAGGATAAATATTATTTAACGCCCACACACACATCCATAATTGGCACACACACACACACAGTCACTCACACACAAAGAGCCACACAAGAGCCACACACCCACACAAAAGGACAAAGATTAAACAGGCATGTTGATAGTAGAAAGAGGAGGCACGTTGATAAGGTTGGAACATGGCTGTCAACATCAAAGGGAACGAGGGATGAAGAGAAGAGAAAAAGAGATGCCACCACTAGCATAAAGTGGTGCTGGGGAAGGAGACTAAGCCATCAGCCACTTCACAGTGTGTGTGTGTGTGTGTGTGTGTGTGTTTGTCACTTCACAGTCTTAAAAGGCGTAACTTAATCATTAAAGGGTAAAGCCTGATTGAGTTTTTCCACAGAACCAAGAGGAAGCTAACGCCTGAAATCGTTCAAAGAGGATTATAAACAAACGCTTCAACTCCCCATCTACCTTGTAGTGAATAATACACTGCTCAAAAAAATTAAGGGAACACTAAAATAACACATCCTAGATCTGAATGAATGAAATAATCTTATTAAATACTTTTTTCTTTACATAGTTGAATGTGCTGACAACAAAATCACACAAAAATTATCAATGGAAATCAAATTTATCAACCCATGGAGGTCTGGATTTGGAGTCACCCTCAAAATGAAAGTGGAAAACCACACTACAGGCTGATCCAACTTTGATGTAATGTCCTTAAAACAAGTCAAAATGAGGCTCAGTAGTGTGTGTGGCCTCCATGTGCCTGTATGACCTCCCTACAACGCCTGGGCATGCTCCTGATGAGGTGGCGGATGGTCTCCTGAGGGATCTCCTCCCAGACCTGGACTAAAGCATCCGCCAACTCCTGGACAGTCTGTGGTGCAACGTGGCGTTGGTGGATGGAGCGAGACATGATGTCCCAGATGTGCTCAATTGGATTCAGGTCTGGGGAACGGGCGGGCCAGTCCATAGCATCAATGCCTTCCTCTTGCAGGAACTGCTGACACACTCCAGCCACATGAGGTCTAGCATTGTCTTGCATTAGGAGGAACCCAGGGCCAACCGCACCAGCATATGGTCTCACAAGGGGTCTGAGGATCTCATCTCGGTACCTAATGGCAGTCAGGCTACCTCTGGCGAGCACATGGAGGGCTGTGCGGCCCCCCAAAGAAATGCCACCCCACACCATGACTGACCCACCGCCAAACCGGTCATGCTGGAGGATGTTGCAGGCAGCAGAACGTTCTCCACGGCGTCTCCAGACTCTGTCACGTCTGTCACGTGCTCAGTGTGAACCTGCTTTCATCTGTGAAGAGCACAGGGCGCCAGTGGTGAATTTGCCAATCTTGGTGTTCTCTGGCAAATGCCAAATGTCCTGCACGGTGTTGGGCTGTAAGCACAACCCCCACCTGTGGACGTTGGGCCCTCATACCACCCTCATGGAGTCTGTTTCTGACCGTTTAAGCAGACACATGCACATTTGTGGCCTGCCGGAGGTCATTTTGCAGGGCTCTGGCAGTGCTCCTCCTGCTCCTCCTTGCACAAAGGCGGAGGTAGCAGTCCTGCTGCTGGGTTGTTGCCCTCCTACGGCCTCCTCCACGTCTCCTGATGTACTGGCCTGTCTCCTGGTAGCGCCTCCATGCTCTGGACACTACGCTGACAGACACAGCAAACCTTCTTGCCACAGCTCGCATTGATGTGCCATCCTGGATGAGCTGCACTACCTGAGCCACTTGTGTGGGTTGTAGACTCCGTCTCATGCTACCACTAGAGTGAAAGCACCGCCAGCATTCAAAAGTGACCAAAACATCAGCCAGGAAGCATAGGAACTGAGAAGTGGTCTGTGGTCACCACTTGCAAAACCAGTCCTTTATTGGGGGTGTCTTGCTAATTGCCTATAATTTCCACCTGTTGTCTATTCCATTTGCACAACAGCATGTGAAATGTATTGTCAATCAGTGTTGCTTCCTAAGTGGACAGTTTGATTTCACAGAAGTGTAATTGACTTGGAGTTACATTGTGTTGTTTAAGTGTTCCCTTAATTTTTTTGAGCAGTGTATATATACATTGCTGTGTGGTGGTTAACAAACTCAATACGGTACTTGTGTTTTTGAGCATGTGTCATACACAGCCATTGTATACAGTGACAGAGCGAGATCGTTTTCTGAATATGTGCAGTGGCTGCTTTCCAAATGTGTCTCGGGCAGTTGCAAACAAAATGTCAGACACACAATAGTTCAAGCTAGAATCTTAGTTGCTATTTCCATTTTTGGACTTATAAATGAATTATATATACCCATTGATTCTTGAACAATATAACTTATAAATGCCTCATGAGCTTAGTTTAACTCTCATACCCAATCAGAAGCCAAAATATCTGCTTGTTTTGATCTAATGTTTGTAAACAATGTTAACGTAAAAAAAAAAACTGTATAGCTTCAAAACTATCATTTTTATGGTCAGTTCTTGCATCCATAGCTCCGTCTATGAATTTGAGAGTCGTTACATTTCTCCAGGCCCATCCCTTAGCTTTTTACCAAAACAGAGGTGGGGTGCTGGCTTTGTTATAGTTTCAATGAAGGACTCTAGCTTTAAAGTATTGTTCTACTCAGACTGCAAGTATCAAGAGAGGTTAGAGTCTAGAGGCAATAGACCAGATAGTAATAAGGCTTAAATAATAGCTTTTAAGGGAGGGAACTTGAGGGAAACCTTGGTCTGAGAATGTTCTAATCTAGAACTTGAGGGAAACCTTGGTCTGAGAATGTTCTAATCTAGTTTAATGACTTGGGATTCCAAACTAGCGGGCCGATGGGGTCACTCCATGCATCCCAAATGGAACCCTATTCCCTTATAGTGCACTCCTTTTGACCAGGGCCCGTAGGGCACTATAAGGGGAATAGGGTGCCATTTGGGATGCTCCCTCTGACCATGAGACCGACCACTTGCCGACCGAGGGACTATATGACAGAGGGGGGGGATTATGAGGGATTGCTAGGGACGGAGGGCGTGTTGAGGAATGATCTGTCCTGACAGACAGAACACTGAGATCCACTTACCCAGCACAGCGGCTTCTCTCTTATAAACTGATTAGGAGCATCTATTCACTGGCAGCATCTTAACCTTTCCTTTATTGAGTACAATGACAAAACTGGACCTGCCGAGGGAGGGTTAACTGAGGGTTAATGAGGGTTAACTGTGGTTAAAGAAGAGACATTAAACTACCAGATCTAATTTTGTCAGATGTTTCCAGACTCCAAAAGTAGTCTAATGTCAATTTCATCAGACTACTATTGAGGTATGAAAACATCTGACAAACTTTAATGTTTGTTGAGTATAATGTTCCATTAACACTACATTAGGAACATTAACATTCCGGGGGGATTCAAGCGTCATATAGAATAATTTTGGTTTCAATACACATCCCTTTTTCTTCATCATTTTGTGGCCACTTTGACCACTAATTAGCTAACAAGATCAAGAGCAGAGTCAATTAGTGACACAGTTCCTTCATCTTCCTCAAAGCCACTCTCAGCTCGATAAAGCTCCAGGACTTTGTTCACAACAATGCAGTGTTGGGGGGAGTCGGTGTCTCTCTCTCTCTTTCACCCTCTCTCTCTCTCTCTTTCACCCTCTCCTTCTCTTTCACCCTCTCCTTTTCTCTCTCTCTCTCTCTTTCACCCTCTCCTTCTCTTTCACTCTCTCTCTCTCTCTGTGTGTGCGCAAATGTCTGTGTCTGTATGCAGGTGTACATCTGTGTGTGTGTTGCTGATTGACTAGTGTGCAGGCATACAACAATCCCCTTTTGAAGTGTTAAACATACCTGAATAATTCAATCCTCTCTAAGTATAGCTCTTAAACCACCATTTACATCTCTGAAATAGGCCTGTTGATGTAGGCAGGCCCAGAGCTATAGTACCCCTATTCAAATGAATGCAATGTACCACTTAGTGGTTAGATTTAGGCTTGGAGTAAGGTTGTTACAATAGATCTTAGGTCTGCACTTATAGTCAGAGACAACCTCAATGAGATTAAAGTCTGTTGTCGTCCTCTCCCTGTGCACTGATCCGAGGTCAGTTTTGATGTATACCTCCCAGTGGTTAAGTTTGGCCTTAGGGTAGGGATACCTGATCCTCGATCAGCTGCCGTTACCTTCTCACAAATCTCTGTGCTTATAAAGACAAGTCATTATCCCATATGTAATAGTGTTCCAAGGTCAGGTTTTGCTTTGTCCCTCCCAGTGGTTCAGTAAAGGCTTGGGTAAACTGATCCGGGTAAACTGATCCTAGATATGTTCTTACCTCCTCATGTCTTCCTGGATGTAGAGGTGGAGGAGCTGTCTGGGGATACTGAAGGACAGCGTACACTCCTCCATCTGTTCTCTCACCAGCATCCATTTACTGTCCACCGTCTGGAACCTGTAGACCTTACACACCGGGTTCTTAAAGACTGGGAGAGAGGGAGGGAGGAGGTGGAGAGGAGAGGGAGAGGGGGAGAAGGAGGGTAGAAAGAGGGAGAGAGCGAGACAGAGAGAGGAAGGGGGAGGGGGAGGGAGAAGGGGGAGAAAGAGGGAGGGAGAGGTGGAAAAGGGGGGGATAAAGAGGGAGAGAAGTAGAAGGGGGAAAGAGAGAGAGACATACAGTATCAACCATCATGACATATTGAAAATGATTACGTACACCTTCAAAGACATTTCTAAGTTTCACAAACATTAAACAGACGATGGGCTTTGGTTCTAAACAAACTATGATACCGGGGAAAAACCCAAGGACAAAACTCAAATCCTTCAAAAAACGTATTTTCATGTGGCATATGCTGCAAATGAAATCCCATAATCAATAACTGTGTCTGCGATAGATAAGGTTGTTGCTTGCTTCTCATCTTCCAAGAGCCACATCTCTCTCTCTATCGCTCTTTCTCCATCTCTCTCTCCAAGTATTAGAAAATTAAGAATATAAGATATCTCAGCTAAGTCCATTAAACGATTCTTTCCATATTAAACAATCCCTTCATTGCATTCCATTTCCATTTATATTGCTTGTTTATGATAGAGCAGTGAAGGAAAGGGAAAAGACGGTTGATTCCCCAAACTTTGCCTCACCGTCTTCTCCTATTAAACCCCATTCAAATTCAACCCTTCCACTCCTCCTCCTCCTTCTTCTTAGAGTGGCTAATAGCGGCAATCATGCGGCAACCAAAAAACAGCTTTAATACTCTTATCAGTGTCCTGGCAGTCGGTGGGCGAGAAAGCCGGAAAAAGCCGTACGCCTCAAACAGCTATTCGCAGTTCGCTGCCGTTGCTCCTTTTCTTCGATGCCACGCTAGCGTTCTAGAAGGAAGTCACTCAATAGTAATAAGCTGGAGTGCTTCGATGGTAGAAGAAGAGACTTCACCAAGATGTGTAATGCCACCAAAAAAGCTACGCAGCACGGCGGGTTGGGAATCACAAGTGTGACCCAAGCACTTATTCCTCCACTTGAAAAAATAAAATCACTTCCCCTCTTCCTTGTGAAGCTGCAACCAACCAACTAACAGTGGTATTGAAATTCCAACTCCTGGAGGAGAGGAGAGGAGAGGAGAGGAGAGGAGAGGAGAGGAGAGGAGAGGAGAGGAGAGGAGAGGGAAGAGGAGGCCCCGTTAACATATGCACCCGTTTGCCATCCATTTACATTCCAAGGTGCAAATTCAATTCAGAGACTAGCCCACACTCCGTCATCCCTTTTCAATGTCAGGGCCTTATTCTGAGCACTTTGTCCTGGGTATTCCATACAGAAGGCAACAGAGCGTTGGAGAGTGTAGTGACAACCGTGTGGATGTTCGGGCACAGCGAGGGGCGGCATGGCAGTGGAGAGACCTTCTAATTGGACGATAATGTGTCAGAGATGACTTTTACTTGAGGCACTGGGGTGGGAAGTAATGTAGTGTTCAGTTCAGTGTCAAGGACAGTTAGAGAGGTAGGAATCAGGCCCCTGGTTGGCTAGTACACACTAGAGCTAAGCCCATCCATAGTTACTGGAACCAGTCTAGAAAGGACTATGTGAAAAGATGATATACGATCTGGCAAAGTATGGCTGAGGTCAGCAATCAACACACTAGTGTGAAAAGTGAAAAATAAGAAAGGGTTAAACTCCCACACCAGAAAAAAATCACTTTTTTTTAGCTGAAAGATGATGGCCAGAGCTTACCCATGGTGTCACACAACGATGTAAGTCAATAAGCCATCGTTTTAGTCAAAGTATGATATATTTGGGCTTGAGGTGCCAAATTCGAATGTGTGACTTCGGATGTTTCCGTGGGTCTCCTGTGCCTTTTAGTATGAGATGACGTGGAAATTATTTTCAGCCTACGTTTAGTTTCAGGGCTGGGTTTTATTTAAATGTTACCACCCACCAGCATGGCAATGTTTATTAACCAGAAACACCTTCTGCAAAGTTCTTCCTATTCGCGAGTCGTCTGAGAGCCAAACAACTTTTCTCTGTAGCCTACACTTGGGTTTCCACTAGATAAAACAGCCACAATGTCATAATTGGCTTTTTCGTACAAATTCATGAAAACCAACATTTGCCTTTTTTGGTCCTAATGTAAGTTTAGGGTTAGGGTTAGGCTAAGGTTAGCAGTGTTGTTAATGTTAGGGTTAAGGTGAGTTAATAACTGAAATTGTGCTCACATAACTTTCATTAGCTGGCTAAGGTTAGCTTAGCATGATAGCTAATTACACTGACAGCTGTCAATCAGTGCCCTATTTGTTGTTATTTCTCTGCTACACTGGGAAATCACCACAATGTTCCCACCCCCAATTCCTGAATATGTATTAACAGCCTGTGTCAGTCTTCGAGTTGGACCCTAAACGAGGACAGGAATTACTCGAAAAACGTGCGGAAACTTCCTCTGAGGTGGGCCCTTTAAGCTTTTTAGGCATAATTTTTTCATAATCATTATATTCATGTAAACATCAAAAAAGTATAGCTATGATTTGAAATGGAGACCTTGATCTTGGATTAAATGACACTGTTGCTGCTGCTGTGTGGAGAGGGACAGGATTCTAGAGGGCATTTCAAAGAGTAAGTCAGAATTAAAAAGAGAAAGCGAGGGAGAGGAGAGCGGGAGAGGAGAGCGGGAGAGGAGAGAGGGAGAGGAGAGAGGGAGAGGAGAGCGGGAGAGGAGAGAGGGAGAGGAGAGGAGAGCGGGAGAGGAGAGCGGGAGAGGAGAGAGGGACAGATGGAGAGCGAGATGAAGGGATGACCGGTACCTTACAGCGGTCGAAGGAGCGGATTAACCTCTGACCTCCCCCCGCCGCCACGCTAATCTGAAGGCCAATCAGATCGCTCCGTCCTCCTCTCCCCACACCTCTTAAGGAAACGACTTCTTCCCTGGGCGTCCCCCCCTCCTGTGTGTGTGTGTGTGTGTGTGTGTGTGTGTATGTATCCTTCTCCGCTTGCCCCCCTCTGAAAGGTAATACAAGTGAAGGGCTAAATTGCATTAGTCAATCTCGCTAAGTCTGCGGGGAGCGTATTATAGTGATGGAACGCAGCTGTGCCACCCGCCTTCCTGCAACCCACCCCACGCCTGGTGCCCACCGCTCGCTAGCTAATTGCGACAGCTAGTGCCAATGACGACGGGTATAGAGAACGGAGCAGCAAGGAAAGTCATACCAACACACGTTGAGGACAGAAATAGAGACAGAGAAGAAGAGGAAGATAAGACATTCTAGAAAGTACCAAGATACGATAATAAGGACAGGGAAATAAAAAAAAAAGAAGAAGAAGAGGAGGAGTTGGAACCTCAGAAGGGTTTCATTTCCCCTCTGGAGAGGAACGAGGGATAAGAAAAGTGAAAGAAGGGTTTTATACTCCCAACACAGCAGGGAGCAGTGACCTTCTCAAGTCTCTCCTTCTCCTCCTCCCTCCCTCTTTCCCGCTCTCTTTTTCTCACTCCTGGTGTTTCTTCTAGGTTCTTCGCTCACAGTGCTTGGGTAACAAGCGGAGTGTGTTGCGCCATTCAGGGGCTTCTCCCTTAATTGGTATCACAGGATCGACAATGCGTCGCTTCCGCTTGTCTGCCTCTACAGCCAGTCCACACAGAACAGATACAGAACCAGGACTGGAGCAGCCAAGGGAGGCAGACGGACCTTCGCCTTGTCTGAGGATATAAAAACCTGCTTTAAAGGGGCACTTCACCATTATATAAATATTTTTTTTTACATCATATTAATTCTGTCCTGCACCTATACCAGTGTCTAGGTCTTTGAAAATTATTTTTTCTACATTTTGTAGTCAAATAGAAAAGAAGAAAAGGTCCCAAGAAAATTACCCGCTATGATGTCATCGGAGACACTGGTGTGGTGCTCCAGATAATGAATAAAAGGTTACAAAGGGGTGAATCCCTTTAAAGCCCATATTGGCCAAGTCTCACACATTCTCTACTGTCAACTGGCTCTCCCTCCCTTTACTCACTTAAGCCAAGGCTTCCCGTTTTAATCTGAGAATGAATAATATTAATTCTTTAATCAAAATGGGTAGCCCCATTGATACTTCAAATCTCTTTAGCGGGACAAGGTTAGTCAAGGGCGGCGCAATTTCCAATAAGAAAACCAAGAAGTATAGGGGGGTTAACTTAATGTATGACTTTATTACACTATGTCAATTTCAAGCTGCTTTTGGGGGTAACGCTAGGTCATGGTAATTGCAGTGGTGTAATAGGGGTTTGTAAGGGAAAATGCAAAAAGCATGTGTGATAATAAACCATTTTTCATAATAAACTAAATTTCACTAGGAGAGGTTGGGTTGGTTGGTGAGACAAGGGGGGGAAGTGGGGTCAAATTAGAGGGGATCCAATTAGCCTTAAAGCGCTTCCCAGTGATTACAGGGTTGCCATGACGATGGAAGTCAGCAGTCAAATTACAGGTGTTCAAAAGGTAGAAGGAACAAGCGTAGTTGAACTTACCAGCACCCGTCTGGGGGCTATTATCTTTGTCGTTTGGGGTTCCCTGTGATGACTCACAAATTAAGGTGCACTGTGGGAAGAAGAGAGAGAGAGATGTTTGATGTTTACATGTACATGTCAACTCTCAGCCATCAATCACACACATATGAATTTACATTTAACTCTGCTTTTCTCTGAGCAGCAGGGCGGCCACGTCTATCTTCACATGTTGCTGGTTCAGCATGTCTTGCTCTTTAAATACGTTTTAATTTAGCTCAGTGTTTTTTTGGACAGCAGGAGGTAAATGGCTGCAGGTAGCTTAGTGGGTAAGAGCGTTGTGCCAGTAACCGAAAGGTCGCTGGTTCTAATCCCCGAGCCGACTAGGCGAAAAATCTGTCGATGTGCCCTTAAGCAAGGCACTTAACCCTAATTGCTCCTGTAAGTCGCTCTGGATAAGAGCGTCTGCTAAATGACTAAAATGTAAATGTAAATGACAGGTGAAGCTAAACACACACACACACACACACACACACACCAACCCTCCGTCATTCAAGAACGCTCCATGTGTTTGTCACCGTCCCCTTTGATAGTGAGTATCTTCCCATCACAGCTGCTGAATGTCCCTTTTTGATGATGCGTGTGGGAAAAGACATGACATCAAAGTGCTAGTGACAACCAACAGTCTTCAGACCTCTCTCTCTGTCAGTGGCATCGAGGCTGACAAACCATCAGAATTAAACTTTAGCAGGTACCAACTACTGAGAATTTAGCGAAACAAGGTAGCTTTATTTACATCAGGGGGGATTTAGTGAAACACGGTAGCTTTATTTACGTCAGGGGAATTTAGCAAAACAAGGTAGCTTTATTCACATCAGGGGTATTTAGTGAAACAAGGCAGCTTTATTCACGTCAGGGGAATTTAGTGAAATGAGGTAGCTTAATTAATGTCAGGGGAATTAAGTTAAACAAGGTTGCTGCATTCACATCAGGGGAACATAGCAGGGGTGAAACATAGGTGCAACTCCATACGATATGATGTGGCTATGTTCATGCCAGAGGAACTGAGCAGGAGTTTGTGAATTTCGGTGAAACTCCACATGATATAATTTAATTTCGATTTTCGTTTTCGTGTGTTGCACTTTCATTCAGTGGCGTCTATCATGCATAGTGTTAGGGGTGTGAACGTTTAAACGTTAAAAAGTTTAAACGAAATTAGGATCCTTAACGTTAAGCAAAATCCCTAACTGAAAAACAATGTTTGTTTTTTTACGTAAATGCAGAAAGTAAACAGCATTGTGGGACAATTTCAGCAACAACTAAGAGCGTTGAAACACAAGGCTCAACATTCCCCTGTTTTGGTGCCCTGGCTGGCTACCATGGTGTGAGCAGCGTGAAGCGAACCCGTGCACATGCACAGAGACAGTGTGTGATTGTGTGAGAGCAAAGTGTAGCATCTCGCTCGTCTCTATATCCTAGCCTATTCATTGATGATAGGCCCTGCTTTGCTGAAGTTGTGAGACATTGCAAGCCAAGAAATTGCAAGATACAGCATTCCATTGCAAGATACAGCTTTTGATTGCCGACAGATAGGCCTAGTGAACGGTTCTGACTCTGTGTGCCTGGTGGCCGACCTGCCTGTACTGTGCCCCTCCCCTCTCTCTCCGTCCCTCGCTAGCTCGCTATGAAAGATGCGAGTGTTTGTGTTCTCAGAAATACGGCAACAAATCAGTCTCCTCCATTCCAAAAATACTGAATCTTAGGAGTCTTGACACTCAGAATACTGAATCTTAGGAATCTTGACACTCAGAAATGCGAGTCGACACCGGGAGTCAACGTGCAAGAAGTCAAGGAATCAATTATTTTGGAGTCAACTCTCCACCACCACATCATTGTCGTTAACAGTTGAAAAAAATTGCAGAGAAGTTAAATGAGAAGGAAATGCTAACTCTGCGAGGTGGAATTGAGGTACAGTAATGTTAGTACAGCTGCAACGCTAAACCATCTGAAAGGGACGCACAGTGAGACCCAAACTGTTGCTGGCAGCAGCACAGCTGTGTTGTGAATTAACTGAAAAAGAATACAAAAATTGCTGTGTAAACATTAAGAAAAATTGTCAAATCAAAACTCCCATCCACCCCACCCACCTTACCGACCACACCCACCCACCCACACACACAAACTACACCAACAACAGAGGGCAGGACCCAGAGGCAGCCAGCCATGTTAGAGCCCTAGTCAATTATATAAGACCGCTCTCTGTGACGCCGACTTACTCACAGTGGCAACACACACACACACACACACACACACACACACACACACACACACTGCAGGCACAGAGAGCGAAGCTAATTTTGCTGCGACGAGGAGAAGTGTCAACAGACTACAGATAGACTGGGTCAGTGAACACCCTATGCTACTGAGTTATGTTATCGTCTCATGTCTCAGAAAGACATCATTTCTACTATACGCAGATCCATTTTGACTGCCTCCTCATTCATGTACAAGTACCAGCCAGGTCATCCCAGATCGACTTCAGTATTCGACATTTGTCCAGGACCCCAGGATGTTGGGAGATGCCTTCAATACCATCCACTATGGACAGTGTGAATGCCTATTACCATCAAGTAGGCTCGCGGCTTGCTAGCGCGTTGTGGATGGGGATAGAGGAGGGTCTTAAACAATGCGCTCCGGCTCGGAGGATCGCAGGTTCAATCTCAGTGCTAGGCACTCATTTTTTTTCTTTCTGTTTTAACACCATCCTAAACCTTAACCCTTACCTTAACCAGTCGGAATTAATGCCTAAACTTAACCGTCATAATGTGAGACCGTGAGATCTTGTTGCAGGTACAGTGGTACACATATTATTGTATTTTAGACTAAACTAAATATTCCCATTGGGTGTAATAACTAGTCAAATGAAGGTAAAGTACATACATAAACTTTGTTTTTGGTGTGAAAGCACCCCATTGGGAGGACGTTTGAGCACTCTTCAGGTGTTTGGCGATCTCGGAAGAAGACATCAGCTCTCTCTCCCTCTTTCTCTTTCTTTCTCTCTCTCGTTCCTGTGTTTCTCAGATGGTGCAGTGTAGCATGTCGTGGTGGATTAGCGTGGTTGATTGTAGGTGGGATGGACTCACAAGGGAGATGCCACTTATTGGAACGAGGTGAGTCTGGTAGGAAGGCTATAAGGCTATGGGGAACTAGGTTTAGTCGACTACCCCACACACATAGAAGAAGGATGTGTGGGGCTCCATCTCTCTTTCTCTATCGCTCTCTAATTCTCTAATGCTCTTTGTCTGTGCACATAAGCACACACAGCACTCAGGCTGTCTAAGCCAATGGCTACACATACACAAACAAACTCACCCAGGTTCCAAGGGCTGTAAGGGCTTGATGAATCTCATTGGGCCACTTGAGCAGTGACAGACTAATCCTGCAAGCATTAGTGCTAGCCGAGACATCTGGAGGGGAGCGACTCTCTCTAACACACATACACACACACACTCTCTCTCACTCTTTTCTCTCTCTCTGTGTCGTAAACACACACCCCCCTATCTCTCTCTGTTAATTGAATTTGCGGTGGTGCTGTCAGTGGTGCTGTCAGTGGTGTTGTTAGCGGTGCTGTCAGTGGTGTTGTCAGTGGTGCTGTCAGTAGTGTTGTGGTCAGTAGTTTTGTCAGTGTTGTGGAGCTGTTGAGTAACAGTGGCCTGCACACACACACACACACACACCCTCACCTTCTGGGCCTGCTGCACGTCGGCCGTGATGTGATCCATGTCCCTCTCCTCCATCTCCCCCATGTTCATACGGCTCACCAACACTGTCCCCACCGCCAACACACCATCAGAAGACCTGGGGGAGAGAGGGAGAGTGTCAGATATGGGAACGATGCAAGAGAGAGAGAATAGAGGTGTAGATGGAGTAGTCAATGGGACACAGAATAGAGGTGTAGATGGAGTAGTCAATGGGACAGAGAATAAAGGTGTAGATGGAGTAGTCAATGGGACACAGAATAGAGGTGTAGATGGAGTAGTCAATGGGACAGAGAATAGAGGTGTAGATGGAGTAGTCAATGGGACAGAGAATAGAGGTGTAGATGGAGTAGTCAATGGGACAGAGAATAAAGGTGTAGATGGAGTAGTCAATGGGACAGAGAATAGAGGTGTAGATGGAGTAGTCAATGGGACAGAGAATAGAGGTGTAGATGGAGTAGTCAATGGGACAGAGAATAAAGGTGTAGATGGAGTAGTCAATGGGACACAGAATAGAGGTGTAGATGGAGTAGTCAATGGGACAGAGAATAAAGGTGTAGATGGAGTAGTCAATGGGACACAGAATAGAGGTGTAGATGGAGTAGTCAATGGGACAGAGAATAGAGGTGAGAAAAATAAGATGTGGTGAGGAAATGAGCAGGAGAGGTCAAGAGAGACTGTAGGCTGGAGTTTCACGAAGCAACTCTCAAGAAATGTCTGTTGCAGTTGCAATCAACTTTGCTGATACACGAAGCAACTCAAACACATTTGAAATGCAACAATATGGTTTGAGAATTCTAAACCAATGTCATCTGCTGTGTTACATTGTGATTTTCACAAATCATTTGTTAATCGAACCGTTTGATTAATGTACAAGGATTGATTTTGAGAAAATGCTGGCTGTACAATTTAGCTAGCCAAAATGAAATTGCCAGCACTGTTCTAGCTAGCTAGCTAGCAATGAACTAACCAAGCTAGCAACTAACTAAGCTTAGGCTAGCTAGTTGAAACTGGTCAGAGAGGTCTGGGTTCACTTAAAAAATGTATTGACAGCCAAACCATATACATAAACCTTTACTAGCCATGATGGCAATATTTATTAATACAGCTCATACAATAATTATGTATCTTATATCAACCTTGATGGCGGTTACCGCAGCAACAGGCAGCGCGAGTGACAGCTGTGTTGACATGACAACTGGGTCGGAGTTCTGTACCTTCGAATGGATCATGCGACAAAAGCATTTGTTTTGATTGTGTTGCTTGCAACTAGTTTCACAAAAGTTGAAATGTTTGCAACTGGTCTGGATGCAACCAAGTTCCAGATGAACTGTTTATCAGTTGCTGGGGGTGTTACATGAAGCAATCCAGAAGCAACATAGTTGTGTCAAAGTTGCTTCGTGTAACCCCAGCACACGGTAGTCTAACCATTGGTACACACTCCCTCTCCCTCTTTCTGTGACAGATACAAAACAGATATCACCGTTCTCATAATAGGGAGCACCAATTACTTTTCTGATGGGAAATCCATTGCCAGCAGTAGTTTATCACTCACACACACAGGCACTCACACACACACATACTCACTCACACACACAGGCAGGCACACACACACACACTCTCAAATGAAAAACAATTCTCCCTGGGTATTAAGCAAGCAGCATGTGATCTAATCCCCCAGTCAGATTGATCTGCCGCTAATGGGCCTGGTCCCACTCCCAGTGGACAATTAAGGGCTATCATAATCCCAGCCAACGCCTGGGGTGCCTGGGGAGAGAGAGAGAGAGAGGAGGATGACACCCCGTTGAGAGAAGGAGAGGAGATGGATGGTGAGGGATGGAGAGGGAGAAGAGAGGGATCTGGAGAGAGAAAGAAGGGGGTGACACCCCGTGGAGAGGAGGAGAGGAAGGGAGGGATAGAGAGGAGGGATGGAGAGGGAGAAGAGAGGGATCTGGAGAGAGAAAGAAGGGGGTGACACCCCGTGGAGAGGAGGAGAGGAAGGGAGGGATAGTGAGGAGGGATGGAGAGGGAGAAGAGAGGGATCTGGAGAGAGAAAGAAGGGGGTGACACCCCGTGGAGAGGAGGAGAGGAAGGGAGGGATAGTGAGGAGGGATGGAGAGGGAGAAGAGAGGGATCTGGAGAGAGAAAGAAGGGGGTGACACCCCGTGGAGAGGAGGAGAGGAAGGGAGGGATAGTGAGGAGGGATGGAGAGGGAGAATAGAGGGATCTGGAGAGAGAAAGAAGGGGGTGACACCCCGTGGAGAGGAGGAGAGGAAGGGAGGGATAGTGAGGAGGGATGGAGAGGGAGAAGAGACTGATCTGAAGAGGGACTCAGGGAAATGCGGCAGTGGCATTCTCGCTCAGAGACTCATTTGCACACGGCGGTCCCTCGCTACGCAGAGCGATAGAAGTTTGTTGATGGATCCTAGGACCCTTGCCAGACATCTGCTTCAGTGTTTACCTTTCCTGGTACCCCACCCCACCCCAATCCACCTCCTCTCCCTCCTTTTCCACTCATCCCCCTCACAGAGAACATTCCGGAAAGTCACCCTGACTTTGAGTAAACATGGTCAGTCCAGATCGAGCCTCTCGTTCACTCAGCTTATAATGGAGAAAATGAGATTAGCATGTCGTTCTATTTAACACCTGTCGCACAGCAAAGAGACCACCACCGTCACTGCAACAGGGCTACAGTGGCCCACCTAGGTACACTTTTCAGATTGCTTTAGTGCCTTACCATAATGAAACATTGCACTTAAATAAACAGTGCAGGCTTTAAAGTCCTACTCCTACTCCATGCATGGCTTTAAAGTCCTACTCCCAATCCATGCATGGCTTTAAAGTCCTACTCCATGCAAGGCTTTAAAGTCCTACTCCCAATCCAGGCATGGCTTTAAACTCCTACTCCTACTCCATGCATGGCTTTAAAGTCCTACTCCTACTCCATGCATGGATTTAAAGGCCTACTCCTACTCCATGCATGGCTTTAAAGTCCTACTCCTACTCCATACATGGCTTTAAAGTCCTACTCCTACTCCATGCAAGGCTTTAAAGTCCTACTCCCAATCCAGGCATGGCTTTAAACTCCTACTCCTACTCCATGCATGGCTTTAAAGTCCTACTCCTACTCCATGCATGGATTTAAAGGCCTACTCCTACTCCATGCATGGCTTTAAAGTCCTACTCCTACTCCATACATGGCTTTAAAGTCCTACTCCTACTCCATGCATGGCTTTAAAGGCCTACTCCAGTCTCATTTTCAGCTCATTTATCACCTGATTTACTTTACAAAAGGCACATCTCAATAGGTGGTATCCTCATGACATACTGTAGCACTAGTGGGGGGGGTGGGCCTTTCCTCTTTTGTTCTCTATTGCTCCTCTAATGTTCCTCAAGCAAGGAGGGAGGCCGAAGACATCACGAATCTCCATCAGACCAACCTTATGAATACCCTACTCCTTGAAGTTTGCAAATGTGTCTACATATTATTTGACCCTTTAGTGTGTGTACTTCACAGTATGTATACTTGGGATATCGCTTTTCAACAGTAAAAGTAAAACAAATAGCTGGAGGACGTCTTTAAGGTAATTGATTTATGTGTGGGAGCGACGGGAGATGATGTCATAGTTGTACAAACTGTAGCATGCAAACAGATGGGGGGATCATATAATAATATAATAATATGCCATTTAGCAGACGCTTTTATCCAAAGCGACTTACAGTCATGCGTGCATACATTTTTTTGTGTATGGGTGGTCCCGGGGATCGAACCCACTACCTTGGCGTTACAAGCGCCGTGCTCTACCAGCTGAGCTACAGAGGACCACTGTCAGTGGTGGTGCGATCCCCGGGATATGATGCTTGGTACCTTTAAAATAACACGCTTTCACAGTTTTCTTACATCAGTTTGTGTGTGTGTGTTTGTGTGTGTGTGATAATAATGACCAATATAGCTTAAAGGCAGGATAAGGAGAAGTTGGTTCAAATCAAGCGAGTGCGTGAACAGACAGAAGTTGCCTTCCTGGCAAGACGGTCGTAGCGAGCCACGCAGCTACAATCTATCTGTTAGAGCTGTGATTGACCTCAAATTAACTTTGAAGCTGCGGAGCGCTGCCGGAAAAAAAAGATAGACAGTAAAGAATCTCCTCTCCTCCATCCTCCCACGACTTCTCCACCTCCTCTTCCTCGGTTCTGGAGTTGGCATTGAACATTATCTGCAGATTGCTCTGCCTGCCTGTGATCTCCCCGCTCAACCGTCCTCATCTAATTGGCCCAGAGTTCGCTTTTTGTGACAGCGCTTAATCAGAGCAGCTTTGTTAAAGAGACAAAGAAAATATGTGCTTAAAGGGACACATCGATGCTGTTTGTAAAGGTTGTAAAGTAAACCCTGGTATGGTTCTGGAGATGATGAATATGAGGTTAAAAAGTGGTGAGGTATGTCTTTAAAGCGCCTGTCGTGTATTTGGAATCGTTCACAAAACAATTAGTTATCAAGGAAGCTGTTTATTGCATTTAAGGCTGATTTATTTTGTAACCCTTCTTCAGTTTGCAAACGTCTCAGAGTGACACAAATCTGTACTAATAACTCATACAAGTCTGGGTAATGAAATCTGTCACGTGGCTCTATTTAGTCCTTTTACTTTATTCCCTCATGTGTGCTTTATTTTGAATGTATTAACCTAGAAGTGCTTTAAATATGTATCCTATCGTGTGGTGTTTTGGTTTATTTCTTATTTCCTTATTTGAGTGAATTTGTTTACTTTTGAATTGGTTAACCTCCTTTTGAGTGTTTGTCTAGTTGTGGGAATGAGTGTTAGTCAGGGACCTGAGCCACACCCCCCACACCTGAGGAGCATTGGGGCTAATGAGGTGACCCTGCACAAAGGCAGCTCTCAGACGAGACAGCCTACAGAGAACAGGTGAAGGCCCTGGGAGTGTGGTGCCAGGAAAATAACCTCTCCCTCAATGTTGACAAAACAAAGGAGCTGATAGTGGACTTCAGGAAACAGCAGAGGGCCATGCCCCTATCCACATTGACGGGACCGCTGTGGAGCAGGTGGAAAGATTCAAGTTCTATGGAAGACACATCACTGACGATC